TGACATGATATTTATCTTCTTAAACAATAATTCAGAAAAGAACCCATTTTTCAATTATAGGATGTCAAGGGAAGCCATCAAGCTGTTGATATGCTCTGTTGGAGCTTTTAGTAATCAGAAAAAATACTGTTGATTTCTAGTTTTAGGTAAATGTATCTGCTGTAAATAGTCTTTGGTTGATGTATCTATCAATAAGCAATAATGAGGAAACTATTTCTTCTGCATGCGTAACCCAATTCTGACAGTTAGACATGACTTTTGAAGTCATGACATAGGTCTTGAACTCTTTGGTTGGGTTAAGAATACACATCGACCAGATGCAAGATATCTACACCTTTGCTCTGTTGAGTAACGTTTCCTAAGCCCACCACTGTGGTGTTTCATAAAAAACTAAGCCTTAGAATTTAAAAGGTACAGACAAAAATAAGTGTTTAATATTTTCTTTGCATTGTCACACATTGCATTCTTTCTTCCTAATGTCATTCTTTTTGAAATTACAAACATTTGTGGTCATCATAACAGTTTGCAGCTTGTTATATGTATATCTGAATTTACAAAATCCTGAATAACAGTAACCTCTGTTTACTACTTAGAAACATAAAAATAAAGTTTAGATTTGTTTTGCAGATAGTCACCCTCCCCTTGCCCAGGTGAGCATCTTATTCAGGTGCATTCTGCATTCTTATTGTCATTTCTGAGCATATACATGAGTATTTGGGGCATTTAAACCCCTGTTTGCTTGAGGCAAAAGTTTTCAAGTTCACTTTATGATTTCCTACTAAACTTGTTTTTCTTCACACTTCATAATGGTGCTCTGTGTAAGAAGTAAAACTAAACAGAAAACCCTCTGGGCGAATAATCACATTCATTTTGGGATTAACACTTGCACCTTTCTTGTTCTCTCAATTCCTCTTTCATTCCATTTGATGAATTGGGCCCAGATGATTTCACTCCAGTTTGTTTTTAGAATAAGGACCAGCTCCTACTGCAGTGATGGCGAACTATGACACGCGTGTCCAGAGGTGACACGCGAACTCATTTTTTTGGTTGATTTTTCTTTATTAAATGGCATTTAAATATATAAAATAAATATCAAAAATATAAGTCTTTATTTTACTATGGTTGCAAATATCAAAAAATTTCTATATGTGACACGGCACCAGAGTTAAGTTAGGGTTTTTCAAAATGCTGACACGCCGAGCTCAAAAGGTTCGCCATCACTGTAAGGTAACTCCTCTGTTCATGTACCATCTTGGAAGGACCATTTAACACTTTATGAATTAATATTTTAACTAGACACACTTCTTCAGAATGAACTAGTTTGAAAGCAATAGTATCCTGAAAGAGTAGTTGCATGAAAAATTTTTGTGCTGCAGCTTAGAACTCAGGATTTGCTGCTTGTTTATTTCTTGCCAAAAGAACTGTCTTTGTATCGGTGTATCGTTTGGTGTGTTACATTAAAATGCCTACTTCAAGTAAGTCCCTAACTATAGAGTAGTATACATAATGTTGTTTGAATGATGTTAAAACTAATGTTGGAAGCAAAGTAATTATTAGGTTGAGTGTGGACTTTGGATTCTGATAGAAGGATTTCAGTACAGAGCTGTGTCAAATTTTGCTCCGTGATACTGAGCAAGTTATTTAACCTCCCCGAGTCTCTGTTTTCTTACTTGCCAACAGGGCTAATAATACTTACCTTATATTGTTAGGATGAATAAAGGAGATAATATCAAAGCAGTCAGAGTGTCTGGCACAGTAGCAGCTTCATAAATCACATCAGTTGTTTTTAAGGACGCATTTCAGTGTCACCTGTTCCTGTCATCAGCTTTCTAATGAAATAGAATTCAAGTCCCTCCCTGTACCTTATTTTTCAATCATTGTTCCTCTAGGCCAGTGGTTCTCAACCTTTACTAATGCCGCGACCCTTTAATACAGTTCCTCATGTTCTGGTGAACCCCAACCATAATATTATTTTTGTTGCTACTTCATAACTGTAATTTTGCTACTGTTATGAATCATAATGTAAATATCTGATATGCAGGATGTATTTTCATTGTTACAAATTGAACATAATTAAAGCATAGTGATTAATCACAAAAACAATATGTAATTATATGTGTTTTCCGATGGTCTTAGGCGACCCCTGTGACCCCCAAAGGGGTCGCGACCCACAGGTTGAAAACCTCTGCTCTAGGCAATACTTTATAATTTAGAAATGTTGAGCCATTGAGAACACCACAGGCTTTTCACAAAAAGAGTCATGTACATTGCTTCATATTAATAAGCTAAATAAAAGTTAGATGCTAAATTATATTTGGAAACTAACAAGAGAGTGTAGAAGAAAGATAAGAATAACTAAATTTTGTTTTTAAGTAATAGTTTGGTGTTTTTAGGAAGTCTGAAAATATACTGTTAATAATTATATTAATTAACAAATCTAACTGAAGAACTCTGTATGTTACAGTAAATTATACAGAAATACAAATTATCCAGAAACAAAAGAATCCATAATATATTTTAACTTTCAAATTAAATATTTTTATACTTAGACATTAATAGTCCTCTTCAACTATAATTAATTCTTGTTTTTCTTTTTATTTTCAGCATTTTATTTCTTTTGAAATACAAAGGAAATAAAAGAATATATGTAGTAACTATAAAATATTCATTTCCTAGATTCAGTAATTATTATTTGGCATGACATTTATAGTCTGATATATTTTAAAATCAATTAAAGACATATCAGTTTATTGTGTTAGTTACACACATATTATTATCATTTAAAGTATTTATTTTTAATTAACAGATATTAAAATTTTCTGTGTACAGTAGATGGAAAGAAGACATAATTGTTGGTAGAAACTTAGCATTTAATTTCACTGAAATACATCAGTTTTCCCAATTTATTTCTCTGGGAGGGAATTTCAGGAAGGGTATGTACTTAGAAACATTTTTAATATTTCATCTCACTCTTTAATGGTGGGAAAGAGAAAATATAGCATGTTGTTAAACATTATATTTATTTCTATAGAACTGAATGGAAACACTGGTAAAACACCTACTTAACCATTGTTATTTATGTATAATATCACAATAAAAATAAGTAAAACATTGAAAATGTGATAATGTATTTTATTTAGGTAAGGCCAAACTGTAATTGTGAAGTAAAGTTAACTGTTAAAGGGCTATTTCAAATGAGACCAGTTTATGAAAGACTGGCCTCAGAAATCTAAATGACTTGTCATTACTGCTGCTTCAGGTCAATTAATCCCTCAGTCAGAGGCTGGGAGAAAGTGACTGGAAAATTCATTCCATTTTAATTCTTGATTGTTCTTCTTCAGAGGCCCTCTTGCGTGTAGCCTATGTCCTCCAAACAGGTGCCAGAATACAATTTTTCTCAAAAATTAGAAGATGTGAATTTTTTAAGTGGTGGTAATGAGGACTTGCCATAATGGAAAAGGGACTTGTGAACACATCTGTAAAAATGGAACCCTTCCATTATTAATGGGAGATTTATTGCCGAAGAAATCACTACAAAACTGTGGTAGAGATCGTGTTTTTATTTTAATACGAGAGCCCGGACTCGCATTAGGACATTGTTGAAGCTTGTGCAGAAAGTAAATGGCACCCAGGGGGCTGTAGCATTCTGCTAGACTGAAGGGCCTTTAATAATCCCATACTCTAATAGCAGTTAAGATAGAGTGTGTGTAAGAGCTAATCTTGTCTTCTGCTTTTATAAAAACTTATGTATAGTAACCAAAAGTAGCTGTGATGTGTTAGCAGCGTGTTCTTAGTATTATAACTTTTTAAACTAAAAACTAAGTTGACCGAGCGATTGTTTTGGAGTTTATTTCATGAAAGGTAAAATAGAATACCTGTTTACAGAAAATTTAACAGCCGCAGATTACACTCAGGAGAGTGTATCCCTGCACAGATGAGCATTCATGTAATGGTAGAAATGTAAATACCAACTTGTTCTTTAACAGGTTAGAATGGTTTAAAATAATGAGTTTATTTTGTAGGGTTTCATTAATGTTTTCATCCTTATTTCAGTAATATTTTTTTATATTTGACATGATTCTTAGGTTTCATTGTCCATCTCTTTAAACCAGGCCCTTTTTAAAATATAAAGTTATGATGGAATTAGTCTACAATATTTAGTAGTTTGACATAAATGATATTTGCAGTAACCTAGAAATGTTCTTTTACTGAATTTTATATAAAAATGCTGAAAGCCTCTGTTAGGCTTCAAAATAGACTTCCCACCACCTCCGCCCACACTCCCATGCATACCATTGCCTCATCTTTATATTTTCTATTCAGGGTATTTGACCCAGAATCTTAGTTTAGCTCTGCTTAAATCTAAAACTAATATTTGTAAAATTTTTAGAACCATGTACCCAAAACAGAAGGCATATTTTATCCTTCACTTTCATTAATGGAAAAATCTTCAGACAGACCTGTTTTTTCATACTGCACACTAGATGGCAGTTTTGTCATATTCTTCCGACTTCAAATGCTGCTCGCGTGAGTGGAACAGAAAAGGCCATCAGTGTTTAGTCTGCACTCAAAGGGTCTCTGCATGACCAATGCAGACCCCATGGACTTCCTGGAACATATGTTAGCAATTTAGCTGCAGACATTTATTTCTTTGTTTTACTGCTTGGCTCTTTGAGAAAGTGTTGGTGCCAGGTTATGGGTTGTCTGGATCATGTCAGAGGCCATGGAGATCAAGTTCATGTGACAGGCTAGACTAAGGAAGGATGAAGTTGGAGGAGGTGAGGAAACTGACCCTTACTTTCAACAGCAACAAGTCACTGCCTGTCTGTGGACTGGAGCCAAGCGCCTCGGCGTTTTAAATTTTACTCCAGCTGAACAAACAAAACACGTTGCCCATTTGGCTTTTTCATATTTCATCAGTAGTCGTTAAATCAGCGATTTCTCCATTTCTCAAAACCTGCTTATCCCTCATCTTTCTCTCTCAACGCCGACTCCTCCAGCCCTGTCCAGACGGAGTGACCTTGAGATCCTCGGCTACTGCCTGCTGCGGTGGTTCTGTGGGAAGCTGCCCTGGGAGCGGAGCCTGCAGGACCCGGTGGCCGTCCAGGCTGCGAAAACAAAGTAAAGATTTCCGTCTCCCATCATGTACAGCAGCAGGTCTGCAGGCACCCATGAAGGGGAGTTAGTATCCCAGAGGAGATTGCCATCCGCCCAACATGATAACCAAGGCACATTTCTTAAGTTTGAAAAATATTATTTAAAAAACCAAACAGCTGACAGACATCAAATCCATTAGGTGATGCCTATGAAATCACGTGTACACGAGTTGTAATACAGAATGTAAAGCGACATGTTGTTCCTTTACATGGTGTTTTCCAAAGCTTAGATTCTAGGTGGTGGAGTTTTCCAGGAAGAGGGTTTTCAAATGAGCATTGTGCACGTGTGTGCGGGCCGCCCGAGCTCGGTGTGACTCGTACTAACTGCGCAGAGCGACAGTCACTTTGGGACGAATCTGGCCTGTATTTTTCAAGTGAGAGCAGCATACCTCTTTCTTAATCTTGTGTCTTGGAGGGAGTATGTTTTGTTTCTGAAAGAAGAAACAGAATTTTTACATGAGGTGTTTTATCTAAAAGGTAATCCTGCAGCCATGTAAACATTTTTAATATTTCACGTTCAGTTTTTCTCAGCTAGAATCTGTTAGCATGAAAATTAGGTCAGACTGAGAACAGAGTGTGTTGCTATTTTACTGTTTTCTCACTTATCAAGCCGAAGAAAAAGTCAATTGCATGGAGCGCGGAGTAGCCTTTTTTTTTTTTTTTTTTTATACTAAGATATGCCCAACAGTCATTATCCACAGATAGAATATCACTGTCGGGAAAGGCAGCTATGTTCTAAGTAGGACAGGTTACATCAGAAGTTTACAGAAGAGTTAGCTGATTCACAGAAATCAACTTTCAAATCCAGTGTGGCATCGGTTCTTAAGAGAGACAAAGGTTGGCCTGCAGATGCAGAATAATACAGATTATTGTAAATACGGGCGTACCGTCTATTATATGAAATGTTTCTCCACTTGGAAACTTGATCACTCTAGTCTCTCACCCAAGATGAACACATTTATATAAGTCAATATTAGAGCTATCTAATCAGTTGTTACTACAATGAGCAATGTGTCCATATTGACCCCATGTAATTGACATTTTTCAGTATATCGGTCAAGCCAAAACTCAGTAATGGGTATAAATAAACAGTCCTGGCAGTTTTCCACCTCAGTTTACTGAGTTTGAATATTGTACTTTATTTTAAAGATTAGCAATTTTAATTCTAATGATATATATATATATATATATATATATATATATATATATACATACATACTAGTATATATGTTTTCCTCTTATTAAGACTTACTGATGATTTTAGTCTTTTATCAATATGCATATATAGATGCAGTTATTGTGGATATCTTTAATGAATATACCTACATATGTATATTCAAATATAATAATAGGGGATTATATAAAATAATAAAATATAATGCTAATAAATATAAACTTTATTTACATTTTAGGGATCCTTACATATATTAATATCTTCATTTTGATTTGATTATTAGTAATACCTATAGATCATTAAAGCTAATAGATTACGAAGTGTATAAGGTAAACTGTAGACATTTTCAAACATCTTATAGTGTATAATACATAATCATAATTTATTCAACTTGCTGAGGAGGCATAACACTGAATTTTCCATAAGGGCATACTTGCATATTCAACCATACTACCATATCTCCCTAAGCCTTTTATTTTCCTGAAATAGGGTAGTATTAGATCAGTGCATTTATTGTTGCAATTCTGCCTGTGCCTGAGTTTATGAATCACACATCCATATCAGTAATTTTCATTGAATATTTATATATTTGTGGCTGAAGCAACTTAGAGTTGTACTTGTTCAGTCTAAAACATTGGAAATGGTTAGAATAATGGGGTTTTTTTGTTTATTTATTTTTGGATATTTTTTGTTAATCTGTTTAATCATAGGATAGCGTGAAACACTGCCCAATAGAGAACAATATACATAAGTAATTAAATAATTTGCCCCTCCCCAATAGTAAGTACTTGAGGAAAAATATCCTTAAAATCCACATATATTTTTTCTATGTATTTTTTCCTGTTTTTAAGAAAAGAATGACAGATACTGCTACTTCTACATTTTTACATGTGTAAACTTTGAATTAAATTCTACATTATTTAGTTTCTAGGTGATTGATATAAAATTGGTCAATGAGAATTGGGGGATCTTCCCACCTCCACTTTCCCTCTTATTAATTGGTGGTGAAAGTTAAGAATTAGTGACTCAACAACACAGAATTTGAGTTTTGTGTACTAATCAAAACAGTGAATCACAGGATCGCAAGCAGATTCATTGTGTGTTACTCTTTTGTTTCAGTCTGTTGGATGAGCTCCCTGAGTCAGTGCTTAACTGGGCCCCTTCTGGAAGCAGTTGCTGTAAGTCAAATGATAACTTCTGCCTTCTCCCATATGCTTGACAGGTCACCACATTTGTCACTCTTGTTTTACAACTTTTTAATCCACCACTCCCATTCCACAGGGTTGGGAGGAAACTCTTCGGGGTTACAGATAGGTTGCTAGAGCAGAGGCTGTTTAGATTCCTTCTGACATTAGAACACAGGAGCACTGCACGGAAGTGTTTAGGCCGCTTTCTAGGCTCTGCCGACTGAGTGTTTTTTTAAATATACATGGAGTATGGGAATCATGCCCAGGTTTAATACTCAGCGTCATATAGTATTTCTAGAGTTGACTTTCTATTTTTGTGCCTCTATATATTGTTGAAAGAAGATAAAGTTGATCTATGAAAAGACAACTTTCAATCAGTAATTTAAAAAAAAGTCATTAAACCCTTGAATGCTGTTTAGACCCTGGGTTACACTCTGTCTGAACAGCCAGCAACAAAATTTTGGATTGGCAAAGGCATGTGGTGCTGGGATTTGGAGGTATATTTCATCAAATCATTTCACCTTCCAAGTTAGTATAGACCATTTTCGGAGTTCTTTAATTTGACATTAGTAGTCGTAAAAACAATAAGTTGATTCAGAGTTACAAAGTGCCTGCTGCCTGCAATGCATGTGAGGCACACTGAGCACCAATTGAAGCAAGTGGCTTACATTGTCTTATAGAACAGAGCCCCCATTTGCTGTCAGGCTTGCTTTTTCTCAGAGATAGATAAGCAGAGTGAATCTTGTTCTCTGTTTATATGGGGCAATCTCAAAGTTAGCTTTTACCTGACTTATGAAAGTGAGTATGCACACTGACCCTCTAGCTAAGGTCAAACAGGGTCAATTTCCATCTGAGGGTTTTAGAGCTAAATCATCTTAAACTCATACCTAGCCCTTCTTTGACAAGAGACCAGAGTTTTCATTTTCATAGGAAACAAAAGAGGAACAAACCAGACCTGCTCTCCCAACGCTATTTCCCAAGTCTGCCAGTCTGCTATCCTGCTTTCTGCCCTCCCTTTGCTACTGAAGGGATGGGGACAACAGGGGAGTATTCATTTAGGGGATGGGTTGAAAGATGAAAGTGTTTTGTTTTTGTAATTGCAATGAGTAACTTGGTCCAAATGCCAATATTCCTTTTTGGCTAATACTCTTTTTTAAAAATATATTTTTTATTGATTTCAGAGAGGAAGGAGAGAGAGAGAGAGAGAGAGAGAGAGAGAGAGAGAGAGAGAGAGAGAGAGACATCAATGATGAGAGACAATCATTGATTGGCTGCCTTCTGCACACCCCCTGCTGGGATCGAGTTTACAACCCAGGCGTGTGCCCTGACTGGGAATTGAACAGTGACCTCCTGGTTCTTAGGTGGACACTCAACCACTGAACCACACCAGCTGGGCTCGACTAATATTCTTATTGACATTTTTACCGGGTCATATAGTTTGTGTTTCACTTAGTAAAAAAAGAGAGCTGGGGCAATTTCAGAAAAAAAAATTTAATTGTACATCTCATATATCTCCTTTGCCTTTCCTGTCCCTCCTGCACAGAAGGTCAATGTGCAGTTTCAGGTCAGAAAAGAAAGCCCAGATGCCCTGGGTTATATCAGATAATCTTCCGTGACACTTCTGTCACTAAGGTTAGGTTAAAAGAAGAGGTGAGTGATACAAGAACTCACGGCAGCAGTGCCAGGTTCCTCTTTTTCAGCACAAACCATTTGAGTCTATAGTATTATTTTATCAAATGCAGATTTCTGTTTCTAAAGAACAACATGTTGAACCATTAATATTCACCGAAGGTCTCTTAAGTTAGTTGATTATGCTTAGGAGAATGGGTATTGTAAGCAGGGCAATTAAACTGATTTACAAAAGGTCCATTACTAAGACATTTTATGGAATAAAACAGCCAAGAAGTTTGCAGCATGCATGCCTAACTCAGTGTAATGATAGTAGTTTCCAAAGTTTCTATCTCTTGAAATGATAGTCAGTAATGATACTTAATATTTCGCTAGCTTAAAAAGCAGATGATTCAAGGATATCATAATTTCATACTACTCAAAGTATTTTGTTTTATAGCTCTGGAAATATGCTAGTAAATTAGAAAGTGTACTTAATATAATAAATCCAGATCTTGAAAAGCTAACAGTTAAACCAGTACTACATCACAAAAGTCTGAGCTCCAGGATTATAATACATTTGTAACAGAGGTGGGTCTTTGCTTTTTCTCCCTCTCTAACCTCTCTGGTACCTAGTTTTTTTCAAACCTCAGGCCTGTGAAGGCTTTGCCAAACAGCTGCTCCCAGCCGTGGAATGCCAGGAGTCTTCCATTGTCTTCTAACAGCCGTTTGTGAAAAGTGTTCAGCTCTGCTCTCTCCATTTGGGATATTTTGGTTAATAGAATTGTAAGATATACCATACGTGGCCTACCGATCTTGAAAGGCCCAAAGAACCACAGAATATTTATATTAAAAGAGCAGTGAATGTAATTTAATCTTTTTCCTCCTTGATCATCCCTCCAGGAATTGGACGCCCCCAGAGGGCTCCTGCAAGCCTGAGTTATAAATATGATGGAACCCCAGCACTTGCTGGTGAATAGAAATCTGGCTGATGGAATACTAGATAACAGAATTTATATACAGTAGAGAGGGGAAAAGTAGGTTGCATAATTGCCACAGTGTCTAAATGAACAAACAAATGAAAAACCCTGGAGCCCAGAGTTCTCATCTTAGTCACATGAGCCTGATGTCCTTGGAGAATAGATGTGGACAGTATGGTGTGTAATGGTCACTCTCTGACTTTCCTAGAACAAAAACAGATGATGACTATGTCTTTGGGAATTTTTCCCTGTGGGCAGTGAAACCCCGTTTCTCTGTCTTTCCCAGATTGAAGGGAGCTAGGCCTGGAGGGAGGGGAAGAGAAGGCTAGGAAGTCACTCCTGCCAACCCACAACGCTTCCCAGATTTTCTTACTATGGGATGTAAACAGCCTGGTGGTAAAGTAAGAAGAACTTGTGTCTGGGTTAGTAATAAGTTTTTGAAGGGGAAAGGCTGTAAAGACTAGTTTGTGAACTTGTCTAAACCTCTAAACGTCACTGTAAACAAATGAAAACATGCCCGCTTTTAAACAGTGTATGGTCTTATCCTTGTATATAGATTGTAGATTGAACCTTCATGAAACAGAAATGCTGCAAAAACCACATTTGTTTTAAGGCTCTGCTATGTTTATAACTGTTGGTTACTAATTCTTGTTTTTAAAAGTTTGTAGTTCATAATTTTTTTTTGGGGGGGGGGTGCTGGGGGGGGGGGAGGAAGTTACTTTATAGTCCCAGGCAGGAGATTACAATAGAGAGGAAAAAAAAAGGTAGCAACTTCTCATCCTTCTGCACTAAATCAGGAATGCTGCGACGGGGAGGTGCTGGGCTCGCCAGGTATGGAGGTTTGGCGAATTCTACAGTCAGTCACGGCTGAACACGTACAATTCAATGAACTGTTATAATTTCAAAATCAAAGCCTTAATTAAAATTTGGAATTATTTTTTCCCTTTGAAGTAAGGAGGTTTATAGTAAGTACCAATTGTTTTTAAGTGATTTTTTAAAACCTCAACATAAAATAAAATTATCTATCATATTACTCAGGTAGTTCTTAGTACTTGCACCCCATAAATCAAAACCACTATAATACAAAAAGTTTTCTTTCTTTGATTAGTGATTTAGTAAATATAGGGTGTTCCCCCCCAAAATGTATACACACACTTTGAATAATGATAAAGGCAGTATTTATTAAAGTACATTTTATTTTCAAAATTGAGCAATAAGCTGTTAAAGAGTGTATACATTTTAGGGGGGGACATCCTGTATATACAAAAATATATTTAAAAAATCAGTTTCTCTCATCTTGTCAATCTATAGGTCACTATATTTCAGTCATTTTTGGATATCATTTAAAAAGTGCTTTTCATTGAGTTGTTCATTCTTAGTTTCTTTAGGATGTGTGTGTGTTTGTATGTGTGTAAGAAAGAAAGAAAAATTTTGAGGATACTGGTGTCTTGACATTCCTTTGCCGATTATGAATGACATGTAAAAAATTTAATACTTCACAGATGAAATAGCCCAATATTTGGCATGTGCTCATAATTTAGCATATGATGAAAAGCCAGACTATCAAATGCTCAAGAAAATTCTGAACCCAGGTGGAATCCCTTTAGGACCATTGGACTTTTCCACGAAAGGAGAGAGTGCAAATGTGCGTACTGCGGACTATCGAAAAGTAAGTACCATAGTCCCTGGGATCTTATGATTACCTCCCGTGAAGCTTGCTTCCAAGTGAGATTGCTTCAAGTTTCAGGTGAGTTTGACAACCCAGGTTCTTATTATATTTAATTCCTATTTCCACTAAGCTCCAGGCAATTTTGTTGAAAGTTCGACATATTGTTTCTTACAGAAACATGGTAGGATCTGTGGTCTGTTGTGTACTAGTAAAGAAGCACGCGGTCACTGTCGGCATGGAGATGCGACTAGGTTAAGTCGACTCTGACTTCATTCATGAGAACCTTTATTTGCTGCTTTTCTTCAGATTTTCTTTAGTTATTTCCCTCTGTTTTTGCAGACCAAGTTGGCCATAATTTGGTGGCAATAATAATATTCTTAGATTTAAGCAGATTATTTGTATGTGCTGATATTTCAATGTATAGAAGCAATTCTTTTTTTAAAAATCAATTTTAAAAAGTTATATCCCTTCCTTTACTCTGCCATTTTCTGACTCCCTCGTGCCAACTTAAAAAAAAGAATTAGAACTTGAAAAATAGTTAAATTTGAAACAATACAAAATAATTAGGACAAAATATTTTTTAAGAGGGTGGGGAAACCTGAGACTGATGTCAGCAACATGACTGGACAGGTTACTAAACGGCCATTTCTCCCTTGCCACCCATCCACATGCAAAAAAATATATATATATAGGAGGGCTTTTTCTCCCCTCATGCATGTATAATAAAGCAGGGTCAGGATGCCATTCATTTTTAATATTTCTTATGAACTTTGGATCATCGCAAGTGTTCATGAGCCAAGAATGCAGGATGCAAACTAACGTGACTGATATGCTGCTGGATGAACGGTGAGTCAAGTATCTGAGCACAGATGGTTCTGATTTGCTGAATTTTGTAGCTGCTGCAACTGAAGACATAAAATATCCTTCTAGTCATAAATTAGCTCTTTGGAAGCAAAACCTTGACACCAGAGCTTTACAACCTTCAATTAGTAGGGAAAGAAGTATTTGAATGACTGTGGTATTGACATCTGTAGGCCTGCATAGTAATCATTCCTAATAGAAGAGAATATCTGTTTGAGGAGGTTTTGCATGGCTAATTAACTACCAGTGAGAATATGTAATTTTTTCATGATCTCCTGATTGTCACCTTTCTCTCATGATACAATTACATTTTATTGTAGCAAGTGCCTCACAAACCAATTGTCAGCACTATTTACTTATTGCAGAAGGCAGAACAAAAGTTCATGTTTAATAAAAAGCCACTGGATTTTGATCTTGGTAATTACTGAGACTTATTTCAACAGTTTTATTGACTTTTGTGTTTTTATCACTTTTGCAACAAAACAAAGAGCATTTCCTTGACATAGTATTTCCCTTGCAATAATGGTCACCATTTAATCTACACCAATTTAAGTAGTGTTTTCCCCTTTTTTGTAGTTTTTTTAGTTTCATAAACTTAATTGAAATATAAAAAAGCCATTTTAAAAAGATAGCTATATCCTCTGATATAAAATTTTAATTATTCACCAGAATTTTTTTTCATCAAATTCTAAGGATACTGTGAAACCATTTTAATATCCAGAGACTAGAACATAAAACAGTTTTTCCAATGAGCCGCAATCAAAAATGTTTTACTCTTTATTTTATAATATATTTTTATTGATTTCAGAGAGGAAGGGACAGAAAGATAGAAACAGCAATGTTGAGAGAGAATCACTGATCCACTGCCTCCTGCATGCCCATACTAGGGACTGAGCCCGCAACCTGGGAATGTGCTCTGACCAGGAATCGAACCAGGATCTCCTAGTTCATGGGTCAAAGCTCAACCACTGTGTCACCCCAACCCAGCTACTCTTTTCTTTTGATGAGAGCACTTAGTAAAAATAAAACTTTAAGAATGAGGCAGGGGTGGGGTGGGTGGGTGGGCAATGATTAACCAAGGAACTTGCATGCATAAATGTATAGCCCTTGAACACAGACAATAGAGTGTGAAGACCTGGGAGCTTCGGGGTGGAGGGGTCATTGGGAAAAACAAAGAGACATCTGTAAGACTTTGAACAATAAGGATAAATTTAAAAAAAAGAGTAACATTCTTAACACCTTAATTTCTGTTAACAATATGATCAGCCTCATTATATATAAAGTATGATGATTTGGGGATATATTTCACAGTATGTCAATATTTATTGGATAATGACATTTCTCTAATATTTTTAAGTATACAAATATATTTAATTATAGTATAAAATATAGGTTCACTATATGTGGGTACACCTTAATTTTTATTTTTAAAACTTAGATTTTGTGATGCTTAAAAAACCAAACTTGAAAAAGTCCAAAAGCCAAGTATGACGATATAAACTGTCCTATACTTCGCCCCTTTGCCTGATACAGCATAAGATAGTTTCCGTAATTGATTGTTTCCATAACAAATGTAATTTTAAGTCCAAAGTGAATATTAATGAATGGCCCCAGATTTCTTTTTTAGTCAGAATCCTCTTAAAATTTCCTTAAAAACATTACTTAATAATCTACACATGGATCACTTTAGTTATGTAACAAACTAGTGAATGAACTTTAGACTTGTACTTTTTAGATAAAGGTACTTAAAAATAAGCCAGTGGACCAAAAAACGTGTACCATTAGATGAATAAAATGTTTCTACCACTCAGTATTCAAAGGAGAGATATGTTTAATTGTTTAAAATGTTATTTCCCTCAGTATAAATGGCTGTGCCTTTTCAATTTAGAATTCTTAAAAATATGTTTTGGTTAGGTATTAGAAAATAGCACATCACCATATGAACCTCAGCAAACATCTTTTTACAAAAGAAAAACGAGGTATTTTTTCAATACTAGGTTTTACTAGGTATCATAAACTGTTCCCTATAAACTGAGCCTTCTTCCTAAAGTCCTCAAATGCTGTTACTGAAGTTAAAGTGGGAATGAATTTATGTCAAGATAGTAGAGACGTTGATATTTTTTCCTGAAAAGCAAATCTTTGGGGGTATTTGCCTCAATCAAGATGATGGTGTGTGTAGCTGAAATCACCCGCTAGTAGTGCTGACGGCTCCTGAGGTAGCACTGACAAATTAGAAGAATCTATCATCAGGCCTACACCAGTCTGTTTATGCCATCCACTGGGATTTAATGTCCACAACTCACTGAAGGAAACCATATTTCAGTAAGAATGCTTACTGAGGTGAGCTAAAGCTCTAGAATTCCCAGAGGAGAACGCTAAAGCCAAATTGAAAAACCAGCGTTATTGAAGTCCCAATTCAACCCTTGAGTAAGCGGTTGCTTCAGGAGCCAGTGTAGTGGATCCTTTTATCAGTCTGTTAGTATCTCCTTCCTTAAGATGATACCTGAATCCGTAGTTTCAGAGTATAGACACCTGGGCATCAGGAGCCACCCATTCTCCCTAAATGCTTCACCTACGCAGCGGAGTAGGTATAAGTCAGTGTTAGAATGTTCAGGCTAACCATATTTCAGTAAAAGTTTGTTCCTACATTCACCCTAAATTGGAGGTTCCTACAGCAAAGCTAGGAGTGACTTATTACTGGCAATGGTAATTTTTGTACTGAGCTTAAATGTTCACAAAATTCTTCCTTGAGCTTTAATTCTCAAAGTAATTCTATTAAGCTTGTCTTCATGTTTATTTTCCATATGTGAGAAGAATAAAATATAAATTCTCCATTATAAGCACATTTGTGGTGTATGAAATTTTAAGGGTCCCAAAGTATTCCTGATTTTGTAACACAGTGAGACGTACTAGTGGAAATTTAAGTAAAAAGTACCTTGTTTGAATAGCCACTTTCTCAAAATGACACACATTTGGATAGTATCTCTAGATTATGTGGGATGCCGAGTGTTTTCTGTATTTTTATAACTTAGAGAAAAATGTTTACTTAATCATCCCACTTCATTCTTACCATTTTAAAACTTTCCCTAGAAAGAGAACTTTTGCATAAACTGGCTATCATTTTATTAGGTAGAGGTGTCCCATGGCGGGACAGCCTAATCATCCAACCGACAGCAGATCCAGCCTCACGGAGAATTGAATCTCTTGGACCAAGTATTTGCACATCAGAGGCTCCCAGAACAACAACTGTCAGACCTACGGTGCCTAGCATACAGGAGACACTAAAAAAACTCAATATCTCATCTAATCCTTTATACCACAGAACACACATTTTCGTGATGATTGGCAAGCCAGTGTTTTATTAGGATAAAACTGCGCACAGCAGCCTTGGGAAACTCCTTGTTTCACACTAGTGCTATGATGAGCATTTATTACCAAGAAGGAAAAGTGGCTCAGGAGGTGGATACACACGAATTTCCCCAGTAGTGTGGGAGATTTGAGTGTTGGAAATAAAGAACCCCTAAGTGATTAGGAAGCAATTTCAATTTCCAGGTTACTGACAGGGAGTAGCTTTGCTGTCCTTTGAGAAGCTGGGATCTGAGAGGAGGGATGAATAAAGAATGATGTGCCCTAGCCTGTTGCTCAGTGGTTAGATTGTCAGCCCTCAGACTGAAAGGTCATGGGTTTGATTCAGGTCAAGGGCACATACCTGGGTGGCAGGCTCAATCCCCTAGTGTGTGCGAGAAACAACCAATCAATGTCTCTCTCTCATATCAATGTCCCTGTGTCTCCCCCTCCCTTCCTCTCTCTCTAAATATCCTCAGGTGAGGATTAACCAAAAAGAATGATGTTGTGATAACTTAGACCTAGCCACAAAACACCAGCATATTTTAAAGGGAAAGAGTGACCACACTTGGCAATAGAAGCTAGAAATTGAGAGACTACAAATTAAGGCTCTGCTTGCCCAGCCAATGTAATTCATTCTCTATTTTGGCACTGGCTACTCCGTAATTTCCCCTTGTACTGTCCTATCTCCTGCCCTCTGCTTAACCCATGAAAAAAAGTGAGTGCGCTTTCAGCTGCTATAAACATGAAGCTGCCGTACAAATACTTCACATAAGGATCTTCACCGTGGCTTTCAATCTTCCAGCTGTACTGAGGGATCTGCGCTTCTATTTCCCTGTCTACTTCAGGGTTATTAAGAGTCAGTCATCCCCCAGATAACGCCAGCGTGTGAAAAAGAAACCTTAGAAGCAAGTTGGTTGTAGAACTTAACCTCTGATCCTGGTACACAGGATTAGATGACATGAACTGTTACTCATCTGCGTAAAGGTTAAATTACCTGTATAAAAAAGTAGGCAGCATCATAAGCTCCTCTTACACATTCACATTAATTAGGCTCCCTTCAGTGATAGAAAACGAAGATTCTAATTAGGAGTTTAAACTAAAAAGATATTCTGGATCCATTCCCAGCAAAGGTTAATAATGAATTCATGTGCCGTTTTAAATGTGACAGTTTTCTGTAAAAAAATGCTGTTTTCAATAAGCAAGTTATCTGCAGAGGTAATTTCCAAAGAGTGCACAACAGAGAAGCTAATTTTAATTGGTCTTGTCCTACTGATGAGAAAGGGTCAGGATCTTGCCAACTACTGTATTTTTTCTATAACGTCCATTTGTTGGTTTCCTCTCTATTCCTTTTTTTTTTTTTTTCCAAATCTTGGCAAGTTTAGAATTTTCAAGAATCTGGATGTAAATGCATTTTTTTAGGTGTCAAAAGTTTTCATTACCTGTTATCACTCTAAATCAACAGGTTGATTCGCAAAAGGCTGCAACAAAGCAAGTCAATCAGATGCAAAATAGGTTAACAGAAAAAAGTGTCCACAGTGAGAGAAGTGCTGAGCCCTCTGCAACAGGGAGAAGAGTTCAGAAAGAGGAGAAGCGGATTGGATCGCTTAACAAAGAAACAGCGCAGGTGAGAAGTGTTTTGATTCTTTCTCCGTATTGCATACCTTCGCTATGATTTCATAACTAAGGCGTTACATTAGAATATGCCCTTTGGGAATAAAGATGTTTTATTTTCTTCTGGAGGCCAAGGTTGTATAGTTTTGTTAAATGAGAAGGGACAGTAAATGTCCTATCCAGCAGATAAAATCAAAGCAGCCAACACCAGTTACCAGAGAAAAGAATGACAGTGAATACATTTGCCTACAGATCTGATTTCTTCCTTTAGCCTAAGAATGTAATGAAGTGCACTTAAATTTTTATGCCATCTATGATCCATTAGGGACTCTTAACATATTCCATACTTTTACATTGGTTCCTCCAGTCTAACCCTTATAATCAACTGTAAGTGAAGTGTTCCTCTGTCAGTATGGTTGCATTTTAAAATGATGTACTTTCTACATCATTTGATCATTTGGTTGGATAGTGACTCAACTTTAGCAGACGACTCACTCAGCCAACAGCCAATGTCTTTCCTAATCTAAACTTTTTGACGAGTACAGTGTATTTATATCTGCAGTGAACATTTTTTTTTCAGAAGGGCCAATGTTATCTGATTTGTACACGATCATTTTCCCAAATGTGAAATAGAATAGCTTAACTCCCCCACTTTCTACCTCTCACCCCTTCCCCCCAAATTGGTATATCAGGCAGTTGGGATGTTAATCAGTAAACTGAGCATTAAAGTTGGATTTGAACTTCTTGGGAGACAAGGCAAAAATTAGAAGCATACTAGTTAGACATTTCATTTCCAGCCAGTAAGCATACAAACTTATCCAGAGAGAGAGATGCTTTTATAATACTAATAGGAAGTTTTTGCATTTATTCTGTTACAGAATAATAACAGCACCAATTTTTTAATTGTAAAGACATCTACTTCAAATGGTCATATCTTACAGTTCCCACTTGTATAATTAGAAAATTCTGCTTGGTGACAAAATATTCTTGGGTGCTCTTTTTCAACCCTTACTGTGTACCAGAATTAACTGTATGGGAGAGAGAGGGGCTGTAAAAAGATCGATGCCCAGGTTCCAAGCTTAGAAACTGATTCATTTTCATTGGATGGCAATGTGATGTGTGTGTACATTTTATCACTCCAGAAAGTTTTTGTTCCCTTTCTCAGTCAGTCCCTTCACCTCCGAGAAACCACTGTTTCGACATTCTGATTCTCTTCAATGGATTAGTTTTGCCTTTTCTAGAATTTCACATACATGTAGTCATACAGTGTGCACTTTTGTGTCTGGCTTCGTTCACTCAGCATGCTTTTTGAGATTTATCTATACTGTTGCATGTATTAGTAATTTGCTCTTTTTCTTGTTGAGTAGTACTTGATTAACTATATCATTATTCCCATATTCATTCTCTTATTAATGGACAGTTGGGCTCCCTGGCTCTAGCCACCCCAAGTATAGTTGCTATAAATATTCTGACACAAGCCCAATGGACACGTTTTGTTTTTCCTCAGAGGTGAAACTGCTGGGTTTCATATCAGATGCATATTCAGCTTTACGAAAAGCTAAAAAATGGTTCCCACTTTATACTTCTCCCAGTAATGTACAAGATTTCCATCTTCCCTAACATCTGGTGTTATCTTTTATTTTAGCCATTCCAACATGTGTATATTAGCATCTCATGGTGATTCTAATTATCACTTTCCTGATGACTAGTAATTTTGAGCACCTTTTCATGTGCCAAGTGCTCATTCATAAATCTTTTTTGTTAAATGCCTTTCCAAGTGTTTTGATCCTTTTTATTTAGTTGTCTTTATATTATTACGTTGTAAGAATTCCTTATATAGCCGAAACCGGTTTGGCTCAGTGGATAGAGCGTCAGCCTGCGGACTGAAGGGTACCGGGTTCGATTCCGGTCAAGGGCATGTACCTGGCTTGTGGGCACTTCCCCAGTGGGGGATGTGCAGGAGGCAGCTGATCGATGTTTCTCTCTTATTGATGTTTCTAACTCTATCTCTCTCCCTTCCTCTCTGTAAAAAAAATCAATAAAATATATTAAAAAAAAAAAAGAATTCCTTATATATTTCACACATAGTCTCCTGTCCTCTGTCTGTATTGTGGGTGTCGTCTCCTTAGCGTGCAGCCTGCCTATTAGCCGTCTCTCTTTTTAATTGTTAACACCATTAGAGATGCCTCCCCCCATTTGCCCACCTTCAACCAACCCCCTTCACTCTGGCCATCACCACACTATTATGTCTATGGGTTATGCATATATGTTCTTTGGCTAATCCCTTCCCCTTCTTTCATCCACTCCCTCTCTTTCCCCTCCCCTCTGACAGCTATCAGTCACTGAATAGTGTTTTTGATAAGAAGCTATTTGTTATTTTAAAATATATCTTTATTGATTTCTAAGGAAGGGAGAAGGAGATAGAAACATCAATGATGAGAGAGATTCATTGACCGGCTGCATCCTACTAGGGATCAAGCCCTCAACCGGGGCATGTGCCCTGAATCGGAATTGATCCTCAAACTCCTGGTTCATATGTTGATGCTCAACCACTGAACCACACCAGCCAGGCGGTATTTGTTAAAGTTCAATTAACCAAATTTTTGCTTTACAATTTTTTTTGGTAATGAAATTTTTGTCTACTTTAAGGTCACAAAGTAACTTTGCTATATTTATATATTTAGAAGGCTTATTGTTTTAGGTTTCATGTTTGGGTCTGTGAACCATCTCAAATCAATCATGTTTATGGTGTAAGGTGGGAAGTGGGAGAGGCACAGCTTTTTATGGTTTTCACCTAGAATAGAACAGGTAAAGTCAAAGGGTTCTCTCCTGTAAACCTGCCACTCCTCAAGTCCATTGCTTAGAGATTTCTGAACCTTCTTTGGTCTGTGCATATTGTTTTCAGATTGCAGGCTGCTATATGGTCATGCTGGGATATATAGGATCCAAAAAGAGGGAGCTTGGGGTGAGAGACTCATGGTTGTTACTTCTTCATGTCCTGAGTCTCTATCCAGTCTGTTTTCCATTGTGCAACTTTCACAATGTTCTATTAGTTTCTTTTTGTCCAGTCTTTAGTTGCAATTCGCAGGATGTTTCACTTAGAATGCTCTTACTCTGTCTTGTCTATTAACAGATGCTGCTCATTTTCATTTTGAAGGCTTCATTGGGTATGGAATCTTAAAGATGTTTCCATGTTGTTTTTCTTATAAGAAGTTAGTGATTATTCTTATTGATCCTGCTTTTAGATTTGCTTCTCACCTTTTTTGGGGGGGGGTGGGGGGGATGGCTGTCTTGTATTTATTCTGCTTGGGCTGATTGAGCTTCTTTTATCATTGGATTTATTTGTCATCAAATTGAAAAAGTTTCAGCTCTGATTTCTTTGTTTTCTGCCTTAATCCCTCTTAATTTCTCCTTCTAATAGCCAAATATATGCAGATGAGATTGTTTTACCTTTCCTAACAGATAACTGAAGCTTTGTTCATTTATCAAATCATGTTTTTATATTGCTGTATTTCAGTTTGGATATTGTTTTGCTGGGTCTCATTGATTTGCTAGATTTAAGAGCTGATTTGACAATGTTTTCATGTCATATTTTTCAGTTCTACAAGTGCATTATATTTTCTATTTCTCTGCTGAGTCCCCCATCTGTTCACTAATTATGCTTAATTTTTCCTTTAAGTCTTTGCACATATTTATGTAGATGTTTTATTGTTGTTTGATAATTCTGCCATCTGGCTCATATCTGACTCTATTTCTTTCTCCTAGTTATGGGTCAAAATTTCCTGCTTCTTATGTTTAGTAAAGTTTTATTGAACATTCTGGATGCTAAGTTCTTGAGAGTCCAGACTTTATTAAAGAGTTTTGAATTTTGTCCTGGCGGGCAGTTAATTTATTGGTAGTTCAACTTGATCATGTCCTGACTTCTGTTTAAACTTTTATAGGCTTCCCTATGGTAAAAGTCATCTTAAGTTGTAGCCTAATAAGTTGGTACCTGTATTTTGTCCAACTTGATTGTTGTATTTATTTCATGGGATTTCACAGCAGGAGGGGAAATCTAGTCAATATCCATTACTCATGGCCAAAACTAGAAGGGGTGCTCATAATGCAGTTTGATAGCATCACTTTTGGCATATTGGGCTAGGATATATGCTGTAAGGGGCTGTTCTGTACATTGTAGGCCGCTATCCCTGGCCTTTAACCAGTAGATGCAATAGTACCTCTTCCCAGTTGTGACAACCCAAAATATCTTCACCAATTGCTGAATGTCCCTGTGGGACAAAATTTTCCCAGGTTGAGAACGCCTGCCCTGGCAGAATTGTTGCATACCTTAAGCCCATGCTACTCAAAGTGTGTTATGCCATCTAGCTGCACTGGCATCACCTGGAGTGCTTCTTAGGAACACAGAAACTAAGGTCACATCTCACACCTCCTGAATGAGATCTGTATCTTAGCAAGATCTCAAAATGACTTGTATGCTTTTTAATGTTAGATCAGGGGCCAGGTGGTACATATTTTATCCTTAAGGTCCAGTCATATCACAACAATTCAGCTCTGTCATTACAGTGTAAAAGCAGCCATAGATAATACATAAAAAATGGGTGAGGCTGTGTTCCAGTAAAACTTTATGCACAATTCAGACAGCTAGGCAGTAAGCCACACTTTTCTAAGCTATGCCATAGACTCTCCCAATCAGATCTCTCAAAGTGAAGTCCTTTATGAGTACTTTCCCATTTGATATCATTTGTTGTTGCTTAAAGAGATGTATAGGATATACACGTTTAGTAGCTTGACTTCTATTCTCCATCTAGATGGGAATAGCATCCACTTCCACAGATAAGTAAGTTATATATAGACTAGAGGCCTGGTGCACGAAATTCATGCACAGGTAGGGTCCCTAGGCCTGGCTGGCGATCAGGGCCAATCCGTGGTGTGACCGGTGGGGCAATAGGGGACCCCACTGGCACATGCCTTGGCCAGCCAGGGGCCTACGGGCAGCTCTTGCACTGAGCGTCTGCCCTCTGGTGGTCAGTGCACATCATAGTGACCGGTTATTCCACAGGTCGTTCCATCAATTTGCATATTAGGCTTTTATTATATAGGCTGCTGCTTAAGTTAGCTTACCAGTTGGTCTTAGCCTTTATAAAATATTTGATGTCATATTTTTGTGTGTGGAACAAAATATATTATTAGTCCAATGAAATAACTATTTATTTTGCCTTTAAGCTGACAGAACTTTAGGAAAACTGCATTAGTGTGACTTTGTTAGAGTAGTTTAAAGTTAGTATCCTGCTCACCATACCATATGTTCCAAGTCCTTGGGTTTATCTTGGGCCACACACCTCTTGACAAAGTTTATTGTATACTTTTAGGCATTCAGGTTTAACACTGTAAAGACAGACTGGTCGTTTCCTTTTTTGTTGGGAGATAAGAGTGAGCATCTTTTCCTAGATCAACTTTGTGGACAAACAAGGACTTTAACCAGGTGTCTTCTTGAGGTCTGTTATGGGAAGGTGTCAGCCTCCTCTGGAGGCTGCAGTATTAGGTGGCTGGACAGCCATCTTGCTCCCCTAGAATCACTATGTTATTAGAAAGCTTTTTGGTCATTAATAATTATCTGACATCTATAAGATTAAATCTGTTTTTTTGTCTTGCCAAAAAATTCAGTTTTTATATTCTGTCTTATTTTTGGATTGTAAGTTAAGAGATAGTTTACTTACTGGTTTAAAAGAACCAATAAAATTAACCAGATTTGACTGTTTGATGCTGGTAAGTACTTTATAAGCTCCTAAAATCCAGGATCAAAAAAAAAAAAAATTCTCAGATAAAATAAAGACAAAAAAGGTTATTTAGCATGAGTACACAAAACAAATACTGGATAACTCAGATCTAACACACTATATATGTCTTTTTCCATAGGAAAGCACAAGGAGAAGACAAAAATATTGTGAGTTGCAAGAATTTTTGAATGAAGTAAAAAGTTCTCCACAAAAAGAGAGCTTTATGCAGTTCCAAAACTCATTTTATGAACCCCATCAAGATTTTACCCGTCCAGATATATTCAACAAGTCCAGATGTCCATCTTGGTACACGTGCACTTCCACAGCTGGTATGGAAGTCACAGACTTAAGTTCTACAGGATTTTGGTCTACAATTTCCCAGTTTACCCTTAGTGAAGAGACAAAAGCAGATGTATATTATTATGGCTTCATCATTCTTTTACTTTTGATGTTAGTGGGTCTTGCTTTATATTTTCTCTGAAGATATCCAATAAAATCCTTTTGATAGCTTTTAAAGTTTCAGTTCTTCACAGAAATGTTACATTCTCATTTTAGGGCTTCCTCCCAGACATTTTCAAGGTAATTGGCTAAAAAAAAAAGGAATACATTTTAACAAAACAAATGTGTGAACATTCTAAAAAAAAAAATTGCTTGATACAAGAAATGATGTCATGATACAGTTTGAAAATACTTCTCTGAAGTTGCAGATCACCCAGAAAATTTAAAAAGGTTATTCCAAAAAAGAGGGATTACCTCTTTGGATCAAAGGAGCAGTTTGAAAATTAAAATTTTATTTATAGGGACAACTTATCTTACAGAAACTTTGCTTTTTTAAATACATAAGTTATATCTCAAAAAGTTTTAGAAAAGCTGATATAAAGATATCTTCTAAAACACATAACTAACCGCTAAGGATATTTCATGAAATGTGATTAATTGCTTACCTTACTACAATATGGACATTCACCAAATAAAATGTTAAAACTCTGTCTACTAGTCTGTAGTCCTCTCAACCACTGGAGATTTTAAAGAGAAGAGAAAGGGAGCAATGTTAGACTGATTACAGATAATTCCAAAAATAATTTACTCTCTTAAATCTCTTTTGCAAGAGTAAGGGGAACATTTTCTGAGCCAATGTTAGACTACTAATATGTGGAATAACAAGGGAAACCAACATGGATTTCAAGGTTTATACCCAGTGCTGTATAACCAAATTATGGACCCCGGTAAGATTTTGATGAAAATTATTTATCTTTTCTATCCCTGAAACACACAAATAATGCATATGGGTCTATGGGGCTCACAGACCTACCTAAAGACATTAATTGCAACTTAAGACCTAATGCGGTGAAAGATACCATAAACTCTTGAAAAGTTAAGTCTGAATTCTGGTGTTAATCACCAATAGTGGGTTAACTCTCAACCATTTATTACCAGCATTAGACAGTTCATTTTAAAAAACTAAATGAATAATTCATTATTATAAAAGAAAACACATGTTCCCTTAAGAGTATCTCTATAATTAGAACTGATATGATTTTTATATAAGGTAAACTGACATCTCTAACTCAGCTCTCCCTTGTTAAAACCAGGTAGTATTACTATGGAAGACTTAGAAAATTGAAAGCACCATACAACTGGAAGGTGTTTTGTATATTGATGCACATATAGTTTAACATATGTCAACTGTGCACTAAGATGAATGCTATACAGAGCAAATGATGAGAGACAGAAATGAAAGCAGTCTTCACATATAGCAAATAAAATGTCACTAAGAGTGATGTGAGATACTCAGGTCACAAAATGTATTCTCAATTATCAAACGTAAGATTATTTCATTTATTCTATACTTGAATCTAGCCTGAAAAGTAAGATGCTCCACAGTGCTAGTTCCCCTTCACCTTATTGCCACTACCACCCCCAACTAGGTGAGTCTACAGTTTGCATGTGGTTACATGAGGTGTTTCCTGAAAGATTCTAGTGTACCATCAGTTTAATTTATGTGTCAATAGTAGTCCATGAATGTATTCTGGGCATGATGAAAAAAATGAAGCACATGGACATCTGGAATGAACTAGTATAGTAATGCAGGAGCTAATGAAAAAACAGGAGATCATACTGAAATAGATTTTAGAGTCTAAATATTTCACATTTATATTCTTTCTTTGTTGTGTTAGCTGAAAAAAGTCTTAACTGATGTGATTTTTACTTTACCTCATATAAGCATATTTGATGGAAAGGCTGCCCACACTGAGAATAATCACACACTTGATCAGGAATGGCACCATCAAGTTGATAGGCATAACAAATTCCACAATCCATAGAAAAATCCTGCAAAAGAAAAGATATATTTATAAGTGTGTTTAAAACATACAGAATGAGATGAGAGAATGAATATGGTATAGATAATGTTACATTTTTATAATTATAGTTTTTATAAAAATTATTATAAAAAAATAGAGTCACATTACTATTTAACACAAGAAAAGCTATTTGTATGAGCGCTCTCCCTTTTCATCCAATAAATTATACACATGGATACACATAAAAAAACAGATTCTGTTTATTCTCACAAGACGTTTGGGCTTAAGTAATTTTCCCATATTGTACATCAATATACACTCAAGTATGTAAAAACAGGAACTGATATTAGCTAGTGATTACTAACTAAACTTCAAAATTGTGTAACTAAAGGAAAAGACAAAAACATCAAGACCACTTTAGTGTTTTATAACTTAGTAGCTTTGTCAAAATTCAATTCTAAATTTATTTTCAATGCAATCTTGTCTGTTCAGTTTTGAAAAACCGTACTGCTATCTTTAAACACTTATATTAAGCTAATCAGAACTTCATTTCAGTCATCCAGAAGCAGACAATATAGAAAATCCAAACATTCCATTAGCTAGTTTGGACCTTACCCTCTATTTTTAATAATAAAGATGTCTGTCAATCAATTTACGGTTACAAAGACCATGAAAAGTACACATCACCATCAGTCGAAGGTTAACAAGTACTTTCATGCAACTTGCTTGCAGTTCAGAAGTCTGTTATAAAATTCTTCAAATTCCCTCACTTTCAACATCATTTTTCTCTGGTGCCTAAAAGAACTTTTAACTTTCATTCTTCAATGCTGTTTGGAATATCAAAGCAATGAAAACACTTACAGATTTTTCTAGGATAGCACGAGCTGGGAAATCAATTTCTAAAACATCTTTCAAATTTTGTAATAGAGTATTTTCTGGATCCCTGAAAACATAAAATTTTTTTAATGAAATTTGTAAAGTCATAGAAAAGTAATAGTTCTATTGCAAAGATACCTACCACAAATGTATGTTTCTGCTCAGCTTAATTCCTAGGGGTTTCACCACTTTAGATATTTAAAGAAAAAAAAAGTTTAATAATTTAGGGGTTGTTGTTCTCATTTCGTAAAACCACATTTGGCACAGAATTTGTTTCTCATTTCAATTGACATACAACACTGTTAGTTTTAGGTGTACAACATAATGATTTGGCATATGTATATATTGTGAAATGGTTACCACAAATTAATATCCATCACCAGATAATTTTTTCTTAAGATGAAAACTTTTAAGATCTCATAGTAACTTTTAAATATACAATATAGTATTGTTAACTACAGATTTTGTTTACTTCATTAGAAAATAATATATTAAAACCAAAGTATGCAGTTCAAAATGAGATTTTCATTTGAAATAATTACCCCTAATATTTTAGAGTAATATTTTAACAGTAGTAGACAAGGATTTTATGATTCTGTTAAAAGACTTGAATCTGAGATCGCACACCATGGTCAGCTCCAAGGAAGTAGCACTCGGGAAGCATAGTGGGGTGCTTGGGGTCCACCTCTATATGTATGGAAGCATTATTCCCTAGAATAAAAGATATTAAAAGTTTTTACAAAAAAATTAATGAGTATCTGGCTGGGTGTTTATTTCATTGTATATACAAGGAAATAGTAACCAAATGCTTTATAAATTTCTCATAAAAATTTTTCATAAAAGGTAAATATATCTCTATAGTATAATTTCATTAAAAGATGTAAATTTTGAAATTATAATTGTGGCTAAAGATTTGGGGACCCTAAGTTTCAAAAAAACAGTCAATCCATAAGTTAATATAATTAATTTAGATCAGAATCTTGGTTAGCATTCTATTAAAGTTTAAATACAAGGTTCTATGTATTGATGGTTTTTTAAATATTCACAAATCAAATATTTAAGAAATACCTAAATTACTTCTCATGACTCTCTTGGAAATAATAGAACTATGGTCAGAATTAAAGACTGGAAGTACAACAAATGGGAAAAAATAAACATGCTTAACATTTGAGTTTTATGAAGGTTTATAAAAATTCTTTCTGAATTCTTTTGCTCCATGTGAGGTTTTTGCCTGTAAGTTAAAGGGTTCAATTCCTATTAAATTTGAAAGTGTTCATTTAGTGAAAACAGCAACTAATCTTGCTTGCAAAATCTATAAAAAAGCTATTTCTACTTGGTACTAGATTTTTTAAAATAAATTTTAACTATACTAGAGTACCGTACAAATTTCATATATTTTACTATTTTTGAAAGTGCACAGTATAATTGTTTATGGTCAATTTGAATTTTATTTTTATGATAAAAATGTAATGTCTTGATAAATTCTATACTCTATATTGTATAAGCCTTTGGCTAACGGGGTAACAACATGCTTTGTAGAACTGTTGTACAATTATACTTTCTTCTTCTCCTAGAAACATAAGTACAATTATTACATATCTGGCAAAAAGGTAACCAAAGAAAATAAATGACTGTAAGTCATTCAATGAGAAAAACAGAAAGTTAATTTATAATCTCATTTGCTAATGCATTCCTTGCCATGAACACAAATTCTGTATTAGCCTTTAACTCCAGAAAATACTTTCCCTTAACAGTGATTATTAACTAACAATGGCTATATTAAGTAATCTTTTACTTAATTTGCTAAAAACTTGGTCTTATAAAGGCAAATCATAGTTTACCTTTTAGGTTTTGTGTTTTTTTTTTTTTTTTAACAAATTGGGTAGCAACACTGTAGAACTGCTGTACGATTATATTTTCCTCTTCTAATAACATACCACTTTTCCCCCACGTAATAAATATAGTATGCCTGGGTAAAAACTCTAAAAATTGCTCACTAATTGGGATATGATCCACATCAAAATTTCAAGATATCATTCGGAACATATGATTTGTAACAACATATCTATTTGAGCTAGGAAGAGAGGGAGGAAAGATATGAATAGGTATCTTCTAACCAACTACAGTATTTAGTGTGAACTCAAATGGAATTTAAAATATCTAGTCTTGAAAGGCAGACCTTGAAAACTGTTTTGCTTGCTCATAATGAAATACATAAAACAATCATTTTATAGTAAGGAGAATATGGTGATATTTAAAGGATGATATTTATAGTTATTTCATATATTTATGAAAATACTTCAAAAATATTCAATTATTTTGTGCTTTTTGTTTACTCTTCAAAGGCCTGTGAGTTATTTTATTCTCTTCTATATTTTTTCAGAAAATATTCCCAGATTTGTTCACACTCATCTTCTCTAGTTTCATGGATGAAGACTTCATTATTTCTAACACAGTTCTTTTTCCTAAGTAATGTAAGTTTTGAAAAGCCTGCTCCACTATTTCTGTGCTAATTAAAAGCTAATTTAACACCATCTCTGAATGCTGCTTCCATTGGATCATCACCTTTTATAATGAAACACCTCAGTACTTGCCCTTTCCCCCTGAAATATTTACATTTAAATACATAGTAATAAAAAAAAGTTCATTCCAGAAAGTTTTAATAGTTTACTTCATGCAGAAAAGTCTCACCTATAAGTCCAATGTCATCTTTAGATACATTTTCCTAAGTAACACGAAATACAACCAAATGCGTAAAAAAGAAAAAAACCTCATTAGTCATCTTTCCCCACCTACTGCAATTCTGCGTGCCGTTGCACTCCGAGTAGGTTTTTCTGGTTCAAGTACCCAAGTTTTCTCGTCGATTTCATCCATAACATCCCAGAATGTCTTCAGTGATTCCAATGCTGCCAAAAACTGACTATGAATGCTTATTAGGGAACTCTGTGAAAAGATAGATGAACGCTGAATAAGTTGTATGGCACTATCAATTGCATATCATCTTTCACTTTTATTTTATAACTCAAATTTAGAATTTTAACTGCTTTATTTCAGCTAAAAATAGACTCTTATAAACAAGAGTCAACTCGCTCTGCTTCAAACCTCTTCACCTCCATCAATATTAACAGAATTCCTTTGTCACTGGACTATACAATTCTCAAGAAGACTGGCTTTTTTGATAAATGTCATTTTTAAATGTTTTCCATCATTTATTTGTATGATGAATTTTGTATTATATATATGACATAGTAACTACTAATACAAGAAGATATGTATGTAAGACTATTAATGTATATAATATATTTGGGGCAGTGTTACAATTTTAGAATGAAAATATTTTCACTTTTGCTGTCATTATCAAGTTAAATGCAGTACTATTTGCAACTTAAATTACTTTTAAACATGAATGAATAACTTTTTAGACTTATATATAGAAAAGTTTATAATAACTAGAGCTTAATGTCTGAGAAGAACCTTTCACAATACTGAAGGTAGAATATCTGTTCTCTTCTGGTATACCACACTTACCTACAAGTTTAAATGTCAAAATCCAGAAATCAGAAAACTAAACTCTCAAGTGTGTTTGTTTGTTTTACTATGGGCTATATTTTATTACTTTTTCCCACTGGTTTCACCACAATTTTTAAGATTATCAAACAAACTAGTTGTGATCCTTATAGATGTCCTCTCTTCATCTAATAAATTTAGTAAGTTAACATAGAACCTGATTCTGTTTTAACATATTTATCTTGACAACTCTATTACCCTAGCATAATTATATGCCATTAGAATAATTCCCTAGTTCCTATTTCCATATCCAGACTAGCCATCCTTGACTTTAACTACCTTACTGTAGAGTACCTGATCTAAAATATAAAACTGAACAGATCAGTTTCCCACTTAAAACCATTCATATCAACCTTTTAACTATATTCCCCCCTCTAGTCATATTCCCCTAAAGCCCATTATTTATATTGCAATTAAGTTGATTTTTGTATTCTATCATAAAAGTTTAGGTGCAGTTCTTATCAAAATATTTTTTCTTTGTAATACCACCACTTAATGACAGTAACACAAGTTGCAAAAGCTATTCAATAAATATTTAAACTGAACTGAACTACATGACATATGAAATAATCGTTGATGATTAGTCTATTTCTTAAGTTTACATACAAGTAGCTTGCGAATTGTGTTTTATATATTATTACTGATTAAAACTACAGTTCTTTGTCATGGCTTGCAATTATCATTCTTTTTTAGTATGTGTACACAGATATGTTTACACGGAGTAAACTAACACTTTCCATGGGTATATTTACTCCTCCAAGGCTTAGTAACTATCTTCTCTATGATCCTACCCAAATCTATTTAAGCCAGATGGAGAACTCTAGAACTACGCAGCCATCTCTATACAGATGCACATCATAGGGAAAAATATACTTAATTCAATGAAACTAATATTTCAACCCCTGATAGGACTATTTTGAAATCTAATACAAAGATAAAGAATCCATAAGGAGAACACAGCTGTAATCTTAAATATCTGATCTTAACCAAGACATATTCAACTTCTAGAAACCTTAACATTGCAAATATAAAGGTGGTTGTGCACTAGATAGCTTCTAAAGTCACTTCCAGATCTATGTTAAGAATTCTAAATATAACTTCAAAAATCCATAAAGTAGGTCATTCTGTCCACTTAAAAGTATCTATATTTCAAGATCCCGATTACTATTATGTACTCCCATTTATTTCCAATTATTGTTTATAAACAGATTTTAAATTGAAATTATATATAAATATATATACATTAAATGTAAATAATTTCTATGCTTTGATGTATAGCAATCATTTCTTTAATCAAAATAACTATGTATCAGCCCAGCCGGCATGGCTCAGTGGCTGAACATCAACCTATGAACCAAGAGGTCACGGTTCGATTTTCTGTCAGGGAACATGCCTGGGTTGTGGGCTCCATCCCTAGTGTGGGGTGTGCGTCATTCATGTTTCTATCTCTCCCTCTCCCTTCCTCTCTGAAATCAATAAAAATATATTTTTTAAAAGAACTACATATCAGAATCAAAATATTTGTGTTATATTTTATAACCCTACTAGAGGCCCAGTGCATAAAATTCATGCATGAGTAGGATCCCTAGGCCTGGCCGGCAATCAGGGCCAGCTGGGGCCTTCCTTAGTTGTGTGCCACCCCTGATGGTAAGCGCATGTCATAGCGAGCTGCCGAACTCCTGGTTGGTTGAACTCCTGAGGGGCCAGTTTGCATATTAGCCTATTATTATATAGAATGTATGTAAGGAAGAAGTGAAAGATGCATTATACAACTTCAATTATTTAAAGGAAAAAGTATCAGCCTTCCAAAACTTTTGAATTTTTGGAATTGGTTTGAAACCATAAATTCCTAGTAGGAAAAACAAAGCAGTTAGATAGATTAAATGTAGTGAAGATCCAAAAATAACACCCAAGATATTGCAACTGATTAATTTACTAATCAAAAGAAGGTATCATCCTTCTTTGCACACGTGCATAGATAGGGCCATGATTAAAGAAAAGGAACTAGAGGAACAAAGATATGAGACAGAAATAAGCCTGGAGGGAAAAAAGGTAACAGAAATTAGTATCTAAAAAACTAAAGAAAACACAAGGCTTTGTGTCCCAAAAGCAACAAACTATCTCACAGAGAAGAAAAGTATCCCAGAAACGAAGACTATGACGTAGAAGCCTCTCACCCAAGCCTTCCTGTGATGGGGAAGAGGAGAGGACAGGATGAAAAACAACCTCAACAATCTCTTTTCCTTAAAATGTAAAAAAGAGAGAGATCCTGAGAAAGTTAGAAATTATAAAGCAAGGTGAGAAGAGTACCAGTGGTTCTCAACCTTCCTAATGCCGCGACCCTCTAATACAGTTCCTCATGTTGTGGTGACCCCCAACCATAACATTATGTTCGTTGCTACTTCACAACTGTAATTTTGCTACTGTTATGAATCGTAATGTAAATATCTGATGTGCAGGATGTATTTTCAGGGGTCGTGACCCACAGGCTGAGAACCGCTGTTTATTCCAAGGATTTGCGGCAAGGACCCATGCTGAGGGCACTCGAACCACATCGGGTTGGTTTATGTGGTGTCTATTTATATGGGATAAAGCTATGACCAGAAAAACGGCACAGACTAAATACCAGAAGTTAGAAAACTACCTCTGTAACATTACATTCACAGGGAGCAGAAGATCTAAGTTTAACAGGGGAGCTATTGCCTGATACGGAGTCCAATTTCCTGTGTTAAAAGCAAAGGTCAGAAGAATAAAAAGAATGTATTAATCCTGAGGAAAATCACTTCTCAGCCTTTTGGCTAAGATCAAGTGTAATCTTGAGGGGGAAAAATAGACATCTTTCCATGATTTGAAAATAGCAGGCATAAAAATATTAAGAGATCAATCTAATATTAGAATCACCTAAGGCACTTAATGAAATTCTCTGCACTGAAATCAGAATATCTGGACTGTTCTGTATATGGGCTTCTCAGTGAAAAGATCTGTATCTGGGACCCCTACATTGATTCCCAGAAAATTTCTGAGCAAACACAACTGGAAAGATCTCTGAACAGTCTTATTCCGTATGATAGATTTGGCATTTAAACCTTGAGATCATGAACCATTAGAAAGTCTGTTCAAAAGTCACCAATCCATGACCTTACAAAAATACTAACTGGCTTATTGTTTTTCCTGCCCAGTTTTATAATGCTGAAGCACAGTCTATTTTGGCCATGCTTGCCAATCTTTATGTTGGAAGGCATGTATGAGTCAAGAACCTCAATACTGAAGCAAGGAAACATCGGGATTGATTATTCTTATTTATGTTTAATGCATAAAATAAATCATCAGAAGACTAGGATGTATCACTATTCAAAAACCTTAAAGGGTGTCACATTTTCTTATGAAGCATAGCCAATAAGTAAGTAGGGAGATGGATGAAGTAGTTCTCATTAGCTCCATGGCTAGCAACTGTATGTTTAGTCAAAGAAATCAGTGGTCTGGTTTCCACACTGTCAGTACCCACTGATGAATTTTTGTATGCTTAAGACAACTCTTTTCAAAACATGCTCATACCAATTAGTGAAATAGTGAGAAACCGTTTTTTTTTTTTTTTTACATTCTACAAAGAAGCTAGGTATAAAAACACTATGTACAAGTGCAAACTAAGTGGGATTAGTCCTCCAACTTTGTTCTTTTTCAGACTACTCTAGCTCCTTTATATTTAAACTAGAGGCCCGGTGCACGAAATTCATGCGGTGTGTGTGTGGGGGGGGGGAGGGGGTGTTCCCTCAGCCCAGCCTGCACCCTCTTCAATCCGGGTCCCCTCAGGGAATGTCTGACTGCTGGTTTAGGCCCTATCCCAGGATTGGGCCTAAACTGAGAGTCGGACATCCTTCTCACAATCCTGGACCGCTGGCTCCTAATTGCTCACCTGCCTGCCTGTCTGGTCGCCCCTAACTGCCCCCTACTGCTGGCCAGGTTGCCCCCAACTGCCCCCTCCCTGCCGGCCTGGTTGCTCCTAACTGCCCCCCTGCCAGCCTGGTCACCCCTAACTGCCCCTCTGCCAGCCTAGTTGCCCTCACTGCCCTCCCTGCCAGCCTAATCACCCCCAACTGCCCCCCCCCCCGCCAGCCTGGTTGTCCCCAACTGCACCCCCCCCCCGCCGGCCTGGTCGCCCCCAAATGCCCCCCTACTGGCCTGGTTGCCCCCAAATGTCCCCCCCCGCCAGCCTGGTCACCCCTCACGGATCCCTGGCCAGCCTGGTTGCCCCACGCAGCCTGCTATTCAGTCGTTTGGTCATCCCTCACTAACCCCCCTGCCAGCCTGGCTGCCCCATGCAGCCTGCTTGTTCAGTTCTTTGGTAGTCCCTCACTAACCCCCCTGCCAGCCTGGTCACAGGCAGCCATCTTGTGAGGGTTAATTTGCATATTACCTCTTTGATATTACCTCTTTTATATATGATATAAATTCTAGAGTCATTTCTTCAGTTTCTAGAAAAAATCTGTTGGGGTTTTGACTGGATTGCATTATATCTATACATTAATTTGGACAGGACGGACAATATTGAGTCTTTTAACCCATAAATATGGAACATATCCCCATTACTTTCGGACTTTAGGCAAAAAAAAAAAGAAAAAAGTGCACTCTATCAAAAAAGATGTATGGATGACATGAACATTTGCTCAACATCAATGGTCAGTAGGAAATACAAATTAAAATCATAATGAGCTAAAAGTTATAATATTTATAATCTTGAGGAGTGTAAGTTTATTTTTATAGGGAACATTTTTCTTCCCTAAATTGTTTTTGGAATGGCAATTTGTTTCCATTATTAAAAGCTGATGTTGTCAGTTGAAAAAAAAATAAAATAAAATCACAATGAGCTACCACTACCCAGCTATTAGAAGGATTAGAGAAACAGAAATCTTCAGACACTATTGTTGGAAATGTAAAATGCCAAAACCACTCTGGAAAACTGTTTAGCAATTTCTTAGAAAGTTAAACATATATTTCCTATATGATCCAGCCATTCTACTCCTAGGTATTTGTTGAAGAGAAATGAAAGTATATGATTCATATAATAATATGCACATAATGTTCATAGTTTTTTATTTGTAATGGCCAAATCTTGAAAACAACCCGTATGTCTTTCAGCAGGACAATATGTGATATATCCATGCAATGGAATACTACTACTCAGTATAAAAAGAATAAACTCTTATTACATAATAAAACATAGACAAATCTCTAATTGTGCTGAGAAAAAACCCCTGAAATAGAATTATATAAAATTGTAAAAAGCAGATCAGTAATTGCCTAGGGGCCAGATAAAAGGGAGAGAACGGTGAAATTAAAAAGGGAAAGGAGGAAACTTGGGTGTAATGGAAATGTTTATTATCTTGATTGTAGGGATGATTTCACAGAGGTAAACATGTGCTAAACTCACCAAATTATTTACACTTTAAATATGTTCAGTTTATCGTATATCAATTACACCTCAACAAAGCTGTTTAAAAAACTCATTCTGATTTCTGGATACTAATGGATTTAAATAGCAATACCTTCTTTACAGTAGACTTCCCAATAATTAGCTTTAAAAACCTTAGAAAATGAAAACATTTCTAACAGCAAGGACAAAAGCGGGAGAGTAACTGTTCATAAACCCACCACATAGATAATGAAAC